AACAGGTCCAGAGCTAAGAGCGGAAATCAGAGGCCTGTGGAACGAGAACAGGGTTATGGAGTAGATTATGGCATGATGGTATAGGGACTCATTACACGGTAGCATTCATTGATCAGGCCCAATATAGTAGGGTGCGGAGTTGAGGCCGTGGCATTTTGTGTGCGTGTACAAAGGCTTTGGAGTTTAGCGAGCATTTGCGGTTTGAGGATTTAAGGTTTTCATGGGGTAGGGTGCAGGGCGAACGCTTTTGCGTTTAGAGTTTACAGTACAGGGGTTGAGGGCTCCTTCACGACTTGGGTTGAGGCCTTCTTTGGGACTTCTTAGTTGAAGCTAATTCGCTGTTGAGGGTTCTGGGGGGAGCGCCCTTTCATGGGGCGAATTGGCGGTTAGTTTCGGTGCGGCTATGGCAGATGGGAGATGAACTTGCTTTGATGACGATAAGCATGAGCCCGATTGTCGGCTTTTTGGTCTTTTGTTTTCGGAACTGTTGCTATATACATGGGGTTTACATTATGGGGTTGCCTCCCGGCAGACGTGCACCACTTTCCTGATGACTCTCGGAGACGTATACCGGTAATTACCGGTCGTAGCTAGTTGCTTGCAGATGACGAAACCGCTGCGACCCTGAAGGAACAGTGGTTAGCGGTTGCTGTCTTGTCTCTGGAGGCTCAGGCTTTATCTTATACTATATGATGCTATAATATACTATATTTGACTAAAAAATATATTATGTCATACATTAAATGAAATCACTGCATCGGGCTCCTGCTTGGAGGAGATCTGCGGCTTACATACAAGCACGAGGCACTATCATAGGGACCCTGAGGGGGGGAGGGGGGGAGGGGGGGGGAAGGGTTTAGGGTTTAAGGACTATGCTCCCTCAAGTAAGCCTTATTAGCTCCTTATAATGGGCATTAATGTCCGCTACCCCCCGCTAGGTAAGTCCTTCGACAACTCGACGAACATGCCTTCATCAACGAAAAACACTACACTGTCAACCCCAAAACCGAGAGTCCAATACCCTAAACTCTGAAATACAAACCTGCACCAAAAATCTATACAGAACTCTCTAGACCCCGTGTACAGGCCCGAAAGATGCCACATAAGCACGAGGATCTCACCATGAGGTGTTCTTGCAGGCGATTCTTCTCCTAAAACATCTGAGCAGTTCTCTAAATCAGGGTCCCTTTTTAGGATCCCTTTTCATACGGGTCCCATACTAGTTGGGAAACCGAAAAGAAGGACCTACTTAATTTGGAGAACTAGTCATATGGCATAGGATCCGAAAGCTTATCTGCGCTCTCAGAGCCTCACTCATCCCCAAACCATCCCCCGACCTGGCACAGCACGTTGGCCAGTTTCCGCACCTGGGATCCTTCAGCGACAGAGAGTAGAGTCAGTAGAGACCACTCTGCATGACATGTGCATTGAGATAGACGATATGATACAAATGTCAGCTGTAAACTGCATTTCGAGCAAAACATGTAATGCATAAGTTCGTAGTACATCACCCAGGAAATACCAAACATGTCAACGAAGGTTTGCATGCACGAGCATGAGTGCACTGGTCTGCTGCCTACACCTTCGTGACTTTGTGCATGTGCAAACAGATGCGTCCGGAGTGTTCCGGAGCCACCCGCGTGTAGCTACCTCGACAAGACCCTAAACCCTAAACCCCTAAACCCTAAATTTCAGTATCCTGATGCGAGCGGACTTCCTTTAGCCAGTTCAAAGAAGAGGCCCAGCGTGTATACTTGTTCCGCACGATACAACTCCGGCATGCTGAGCCGAACTGCCCACATTATAATAAGGAGCCCCCCCACAATAGTATAGGCAACTCTTAAGGCCCGTATATTAAAACCCTAAACCCCTAAACCCCATAAACCCCTACACCCTAAACCTTAAACCCTAACAGAGCGCGCAGATTCGGAGTGCTACAGTCAGGCCGACCTCGCAGCCGCAAGCTCTGCCGGCCGCCACACTTGCACCTCCTCCTGTGGCTTTAATTAGGGGCCCTATTCTATCGTATTACAAGGCATCATTACAGTATAGTATTGTACAGTATAGTATTGCATAGTATAGTATATGATTTATGATTCTGGGTTTCTCACCCTTGAATTCAGTGCAGGGCTTAGTTTTTGAGTAGGAGAGGTCCCGACACAATCGTAAAACTGTGCCGCGGCAGTCTGAAACTAGCAGTTACAGACATTTGATTCCTTTTGGTCCTTATCCACATCCACAGAGACTTTAGCAGACCAGGCCCTGCACCGCTCTGTCCCAAAACTTATACTTTAAACACCTAACGCGGTCGAGAGTTTACAACTACGTATGGATTTCAGGTTTCAAGGTTCCGGGCGTGGAGGAGTCATCACACGACACCCTCTGCCCAAAACCCTCACTAAATCCTGAACTTGAACTCTAAATCCCAGACCCGAAGCCCTGTAACCTAAGCCCCAAGCCCTCAAGCCCCCTAAATCCCTATAAATCCTAAACTCCGTAAAGCACTGCCCCAAAGGGTCCAAGTATGATTCTGGTGTGTACTTATAGGGTATTTCGGGGGCCTAAGTATATACCATAATGATACTTGGACCCTTTGGGAATCCTAAACTCCCTAAAGCACTGCGGTATCAAAGTCTACGTCCGACGCCTTGGCCATCTTAGCGCACCCGGTGCACCTCTCGGCTGGAGAGCAACGAACCCTTCAAGGTTTAGGGTTGCTATTTACTACTACACACTCACACACACATATATATATATATATATATGTATAATATAAGGGCTCTTTCCGGGGTTTAGGGTTGCTATTTACTACTACCTGGACCCCCAAAATATGTAGAATAATAAACATTTTTTATAGGTTTTGGGCCATTATTTTACTTACTTTTGGGGGTCTAGGTATATACATATATATATATATATATGTATATTACAGATAAAGTTCTTGAGAGAGTTTAAGGTTAAGGTGTGTTTAGGGTGCAGGGTGGTAGGATATCGGGAAAGGAGAAGGGTTCTTCCCAAAACTTTGGCTCTCTACAACTGTGCGAAAACAAATTTGTGAGAATACATGGCAATCTGTGCATGCCTGTGTGTATACAAGTATGTATGTAACTGTATGTAGAATAGTCTACATGACAGTATATACACATAGGTATACACATGTCATGTAAGTACATGTGTATTTGTAAACAATACACACTCGGTTTATCTTTATCTGTTCAGCTAGATTCCAATTAAGATGCCCGACTTGGTCCCCTAAGCCCTAAACCCAAAACAATTAAACCTTAAACCCAAACCTAAAACCTGAAAACCCCTAATCCCTAGACCCTAAACCCTAAACCCAAACCTAAAACCCGAAAACCTAAAACGTTTCAGAGCCGTCAACGAAACCCCTGGAAGCTGAAAGCCCCGCCTGACCGGAGCAGGGCTGCTCCGCCATGGCACGAGCGATCTTGGCCCTACAAGCCCTACGGCTTAAGGGTTGGCTTAGAGGTTCGGGCTCTTAAACCCTACTTGGAGGACCGTGGGACTTAGGGACTGGGGTTATACATAAGGCAACTATACTTATAACTCCAATTAGGGTACTTATAACCTTACTTACTAAGTCCCATGATCCTCCAAGTAAGCCCTTAAGGGTTCCGGGGCCTCGGATCTCGGATCTGAGGGCTTAGGGTGTAGGGTTAAAGACTATGCAGGGCTTCAAGGCCCAAAGTCGGCCTAAGCTTGCCCTCTAAGGCTTTCAGGCTTGAAGATTGCCGAGGACTCACGGTTTTTTGGGGCCGTTTGGGGCTTTGGTGGGGTTGGGTTTTGGGGTTTGGAGTTGGCTGTGCAAGAGCAGAGTTGAGCTTTGGTCGGGCAAAAGCCGATTTACCCCAAGCCGGTTTCGGGTTGCAGAGGTGGTGGTAAGACAGAGCACTCTTCCGAATGCTCTTGTTGACGCCGTTCTGTGTTACGGAGATGCAATGCTTGCCATTCTTGTTGCGTTTTACATTGTTTAAGCATGGCCCTATGATCAGTCCCTTCATTTTGCTCGCTTGCTCTGGTTCTTTCATGCGGCCCTTCCTCGGACTCATAGCCGGATGGCAGCGGCAGTTGATTGCATCGACTAGCCTTGCTTGAGGGGCCTTGCTTCAGTGCGTCTAGAAAGTGAGAGGCTCAGAACGAAGACCGCCCAGTATCTCCCACGAGGAAGATGTCGCGAACACTAGTATCCGCCGAGGCCACAGGCCCAGGCGTCTTGGGGGTTAGCCTGCGGTCCATGTTTGGGGACACCCGTTTTTTCCCTTCCCCCCCCCTTCCGCCCCCTCCCGCCCGCTCCCCCTCCTCCCCCCTCCCCCCCCCTCCCCCCCCCTCCCCCCCCTCCCCCCCCCTCACCCCCCCTTCTGCCCGTTCTCCTCGCACTTCTATCAACAACCGTGTAAAGGTGGGGTTTGACAGGCCGCCCTAGCATAAAAAAACATCGACTGCCCCCTCGCCCTGCCGCTACACAGCCGAGGCGGGCGGCGTAGCGTTAAAATTATCTTCCGGCAGTCATGGATCCGGCGTGACAGATGCATTGCAGGCTGAAGGCGTCTAGGGGTTATGGAGCTAGGGGTTCGGACCACATGGAGAACCTCAGCAACCCAGTTGTGGTGTCTTCAGGGAACGCGGACTCCCTAGCAGTTAACAACATATCCTGTAGCCCCAAACCCTACCTGTTAAGCACGGAACGCCTCAACACCTGCCCCCACGCCGAATCAGAGACTCCAAAAACCCTAAACCCTAAACCCAAACCCTAAACCCTAAACCCAAACCCTAAACCCCAAACCCTAAACCCAAACCCTAAACCCAAACCCTAAACCCCAAACCCTAAACCCAAACCCTAAACCCTAAACCCCTACACCCCTAAAGCCCTACCCCCTAACCCCTAAACCCCTAAACCCCTACACCCCTAAACCCCTAAATCCTAAACCCCTAAACCCAGGAGCCGCGAAATTTGTTGTCCACGCGTCTTGCGCAGCAGGTCAGCTCTGGGTCGGTAGGCCGTGGGACTGCCGGAGATTCGGAGGATCATCCAGAGGTCTAGGGGGTTAGGAGCGGCTTGGGGGTTCAGGGGTTTGGGGTTTAAGGGTTGAGGAGGGTTTAGGGGGTTAGGAGCGGTTTGGGGGTTCAGGGGTTTGGGGTTTAAGGGTTGAGGAGGGTTTAGTAGGAGGGGTTCAGGGGTTTGGGGTTTAACTGTGCTCTGCTTTGGGTTGAGGGTCTTTGTGCTCCATGGTCTGAACTTCGGAGGGCTATCAGCAAGCTCAACGTTTTAGGGTTAAGGGGTTGAGGGTTCCAGGGTTTTAGGGTGGCTAGGACTGCGGTTCATGAACAGCATAGACATGACAGTCCCAAAGCTTCAACCCCAAACCCTGAGTACTGCTCTCAGGCGCCACACAAGATCATGTCAAAGCCTTTGCTCTTAACACAATCAAAGCCAAGTCACGCAGAGAAACAAAGAACCTCCTCAAATTGGGCAGATGTTTGACAACTCCGACATCTGCTCAACCGGCCTCGCGCCGACCCATCGATGCAGCGGTGAAACCTCGCTCGATTGCTTATGTGAATGGTCGATGTGCATGGTCGAGGCTTACTTAGGATTTAGGGCTTGGGGTTCAGGATCTGCGTCTGCATGGCCCAAAACAGACTGTTTCTGGATATGAGACATGGTTGGTTCGTTGCTCCAGCAGTTGATGTGGGTTCGAAGTGCCAAGATGCATACTCCACACACTATAAGTTCTAAGCCGAAGATCCATCACCATACTGGTGGGTTTCAGTTCTACTTTCCAGCTGCAGCTTGCTCCTGAGGCAGTTCCTTCAAGGGCTTAGGGTTTAGGATTAAGGATTAGGGTTTCGGGCTTGGGCTTACTACACTGGTTACACAACGACTTCTACATAAACAGTTTCTAAAGGCGTTCAGTCTCCACTTGTCTCGGGGCCTCAATAATTAGAAGGAGTTTGAGGGTACATTTTTTTGATCTGAGACCATCTGAGGCCTATGAGGGGATATAGTTTGAAATTCTCTCGACCCGTACATTAACCCTGCGCCTTTCACCCAATTTGGGGCATCGGATCCCACTCGATGGAGGCAGAACACACAATGGCTGTAAACCTAACCCTAAGGGCCCATGTACCCAAATAGTATATACTTCGGCCACAAAGTACCTATATGGAACGACTTTAAGGCCAATGTAGATACTATTTGGGTACATGAACTCTTCGGGTAAGAGCCCTAAACCCAACCCGCCTGGGGCTCCGTGCCGGGCGTAGGGGTGCGAACCAGTAGGGAGCCCCTTGAGGCCAAGGAGCCTGCAATTAGGGGTTTAGGATTCTAGGGTCTTAGAGCTTTGGGGCTGAGGGTTTAGGGAGTTTAGGAATTTAGGGTCTAGGGCTTCAGGGTTTTAGGTCTTCGGGTTTGGGGTGTAGGGTCCTGCAAGTTCCTAGATCGGGCTAGAGGCACCTTCTTGGCGAGCCGTGCAAGTGAGGATCTAACCATAACAAAGGAGCCCAAATATGTATGTAATGGAATTTAAGGCTTAGGGCTTAGGCTTAAGGCTAACATGGTTTAGGGGTCTGCGGCTTAAAGGGTTTATAAGGCTAGGGTTTAATTAAGATTTAGGGTTTAGGGCCTATAATTATAGAGTTTACGGGTTCAGGGCTTATGGGCTTCAGGGTTAACGAGGGATTACAAACCGTCTTGTGTTGTATTCGTGCAGGGATGCAGCAGACTCGTCACGAACAGGTACGTACCTGCCGAGTCTCATGATCCAGGGAGGGTTAGTTAAAGGCTTGGGCAGTGGGATTTGGGCTTGGCATTTCAGTGGTTCAAGGACCTGTACCAGGTAGATAAGGCATGAAGGATGAGGCTGGGTTTGAGCATTCCATCGCAGCTCAGGTCAGGCTACTACGTGCTAGCAGCAGCAGCCACAGCCATCGTACATAGTCGACTATTACTGTAGTCGTTCTTCCAATTTTCAATAGAGGAAGTACTGAACACCCTGAATGACAATGCCTCAAACCCCCAAAAACCCTCAACTCGAACCCAATTGCTCTAAAACCCTCAACCCTACCAGAGCTCACTGACTCTGAAGAAGCCTTGTCACCCCCACCCCCCCTCCCACCCCCGAGCTTCGCCTGGGATTCCTGGATATTTTCGGAACCTATGGGCCCTCCGTGATGGCACCACCAGAAGCCCCCGCCCCCCCCCCCTCTCCAGCGCTTCCGGCCTCTCGAAGCTGTGCCTCGTGCAGTGGCCCGCCTCATGGCTGCTCCGAGGACAGCGCTTGGGGGTTTAGGGGTTTGGGGGGGTTTTAAGGTTTAGAGCTCAAGAAGTGGGTGTTTGATGTGGGCAGACACATTATTATTCTATTCTGGCATGTTACCTTGACTATCTTTCAGTACATCTTCCTTTATCATGCTATACTATACCAGTTCACCTTCTTCGCGTCTTGCGTTAGGGTCAGCATAACCCTAAACCCTAAACCCCTAAAGCCCTTATAGATCCCTTTAAGGAACCTATAGATCCACTTAAGGAGCCTTTTAAACCCGAAACCCTAAACCCTCAACCCAGCTCATTCGCGGCTCGGATCTCAGGCTCTCGGGCTTGTCGGTGTACTTGGAGGATCATGGGACTTAGTAAGTAGGGTTATAAGTCCCCTAATTGGGGTTATAAGTAATTATAAGTATAGTTACCTTAATTATAGCCCAAGTTACTAAGTCCCATGATCTTTTAAGTAGGCTCGGGGGCATCTGATGAGAGACCCTCAGGGCTTTGGCAAGGGTTAGACATGATTCGGGCTAAGGGTTCAGGGGTTCAGGGTCTAGGGGTTTAAGGGTTTGGGGGTCCAGGGTTCAGGAGTTTAGGGTCTTGACAGTACTATAACACTAGAATACCTCAATACTGTGATGCTACAATATCCCGTAGCGTTTTGCAGAGCTTGTATAGCTATGTACATCACTCAGCCCCTTGGGTCTTGATTTGGAGTTCATGACTCCAAGCAGATTTTCGTACAATATCATAATACTATACTCCTAAGATAAGTAGTGCTATGCAGGTGTGGGGCTTTTAGCCAAGCCGAAACCCCACGCTCCCATAAACCTCCAGGCGGTAAAACCATCACTGCAGCGGATTTTAGCCAGGCCATAAACCCCATAGTCCCTACCCATAGGCCCCAAAGTAGTTCCGTTTCGTGGTTCATATATACAACTCTATAAGGTCAAGGTAGTCCCGAAAAGGAACTACTATGGGGCCTCTGGGTAAAAGCATCCGACAGCAAAGCCGTCAAAACAGCGAGGTTTAGCTGCAACAGTGAATCCGACGAGCCTTAAACCCACCAATCCCTGAATACTAGCCGTTTACCCATAGGCCCCAAAGTAGTTCCTTTTTCGGGTTCGTATATAGAAAGAATCCTATAAGGTAATCCCAAAAAGGAACTACTTTGGGGCCTCTGGGTATAGATGTTGGGCTATTGTCTTAGTTACTTTTGGGGGGTCTAGGTAGCGACCTTCAGCCGCAATCCCAACCACTTTGGCTCCGCACCCCCCTGTGCTCGGAGGAGTCGTGTACAGGAAGGGTGCCTCGGCAGACGAGGTACCTACACTTTAGAAGCTGCCCCCACCCTGTAATAGTGGTATATTAGGAATATAATCGGGCCCTAATATAATCCTTATAGTCACTACTACAGGGTGGGGGCCCCTTCTAACGCACACTGAGAAGAACGAGTTTTGACTAATTGCCAGCTAGGGTTCGCCGTTCTGGGTAACTCACTTACCCAAAATGTTGGGTTGGGAGTTGAGGATCTACCTACTATGTATTCCAGGGCCGCTGTAATCTTGTGAAGAGAGCTGCAGAAGCTGCACAGGGAGCAGGGTGGCTTCAGCGACGCATCATCCAAGAAGGCCTGATAAGAACCCAAAACCCCAAGCCAGATTCTGGGTAGCTTCTGATTCCAAGGCTGTTGTACATACCTGCCAAGAGGTACGAGCCTGAGCGGTGATCTGGAGCCAGCACACAAGATCTGTGGCAAGAAATGCTATCATCATGGCCATCACCATCGTCGTGTGGGAAGTGTGCTGAACACCACGAACATTCGTTGTAATGAGGGAGCAATAACATGTAGAGTTTCCTACGGTCCTAAAGCGTTGTCATGCGTGTGGGGATGCGGGGGGGGGGGGGGGGCATCATCGAGTCTTGGGAATTCGGGATTACTTGGGGCAGCCAGAGCTGCATGCCTTGAGCTTCAGCGAAGCATTTGGGGCTCAAGACTCTCAGGTTCAGGATTTGTAGAGACAAATAAAAGTATGGCTAATAAAGCGCTAGTCAGTGAATATCCCTTTATAGTACATATGTATATATGTGGGATTTTATGACGGGAGTGTCCACAGATCTCGGAAACCTGGCATGCACTCTTCGTGCACTCAAGAGCAAAGGAGGTTGGCATTGGTCATACGAATGCATATAGCACCATCATATCTCATACTGCTTGTCACTGTCACGACCGGTCATGCACATCGCGGTTTCTGTTAAACCGAATGTATGCCAAACCTTATTCAATCCTCCCTGTCGCCTGCTTCACCATTCCGTAGCTTTTCAGTTTGCGCTGTGCAAAGTTGTTGCGGATGTTGGTGTTGCACCAGAATCAATCATTCGCCTCAACCTCCTACAACGGGTGTCAAACTAGGCTCCGCACGGTGCCCTTTAGGAAACAAGATTCGAGGCATCGGAGACGATCTTCGAGATCTGCCAAGACTGTCCGCGTGTGGGTGTGTGTGTGTGTACCGGTTATGGGTTGCATGTTGGAGCTCTTCTGGCGTATAGGAAGGATACATCCGCGGCACTCAAACACGCGACTCCCTCAACAAAACGCTGCTCAACATGAAGAATTCCTGACCCCGCGAAGCCCCCGAACCTCTCCAAATACCCCAAACTGCGTGAACCTAAAAAACCTGTGACCGGGACCTCTAGCCCAGGGCCTGCATCTTCAACATAAACCTCGAACCCTATAACCTCGGACTTCTTGCGAGCGCTTCCCGCCAGCCTAGAGGTATTCTCGCTGCGCCGCGCTGCGGCGGAATCTGGGCCAAACTTCAACCCTAAACCAAAGCTCGAGCAATAGCAACAATACTCGAAGGAATTGATCGTAACAGGTACTCATCAAGGTTGCTTAACGCTATATCTGCTGAAACTGGAACTTACCTAGAGGCTCCATAGTAGTTCCTTTTTGGGGTTCATGTTTAGAACCCTATAGGTAATCCCAAAAAGGAACTACTTTGGAGCCTTTGGGTAAGACGATGATCTTAAGCGTGAAGTGAGAAACGCAAGAGACCCTGAAGCCCATCATGAGACCTCGGTTCTGGATGCGAGTCGGGGGAGAGTAATATGGGGGGCCTTAATGAGTACCTTAACCGTGGGGTTTAGGGTTTAGGGTTCAGGGTTTAGGGTTTATATGGGGGCCTTCATGAGTACCTTTTTTGGGAGCTTCTTATTACAATTATGGTATAAGATGCCCCGTAAACTATAGAACCCTACTCTAGATCCCTTATAATTAAACCTTTCGAAATTGTGAAGGCCCCTCTGTTGATCCCCTGGCTTGGCATCTAAGGGTCCGTGCTACCAAAACTTCCACCAAGCCGCAAATATTACATCCGTCAGGTTTGTGTGGCTTTGGGTGTAAGGTTACAGTTTAGGGTTTAGGGAAGGTTAGGGTTTAGGGTTAACAGGGTTCCCTTAAAGGGTTCCTTAAAAAGTGGTGTGTGTGTGTGTGAAGTCTTCACAGCTTTGTACAACTTCTCTCCGGTGCAAAACGGAGGCAGCAGTGAAAAACACTCCTCACTACAAACCGTAGCTGGGAGCACGTCGCTGGCAAACAAGGTCAAACGAACCCTTCCACCTCCAAGTCATCGAGCCGAAAGTTGTTGTGAGGCAGACCTGCGGATGGGGCTGAGGGGTGAGGGGTTTAGGGGTTGAGGGGTGCGGGTTGAGGGGTTTAAGGTTTAGGGTTGAGGGGTGTCGGGTTCAGGGGTTTAAGGTTTAGGGTTGAGGGGTGTCGGTTTCAGGGGTTTAAGGTTTAGATTGTCCTTGTAAAGGCGGTAGAAGGCAGATGCAGCAGCGGCAAACATGATGTCGGTAGCGGAAGCAAGTAGTAGGTGCCGCCACCGTGGTAATGGTGGCAATACTATCCTATACTCTGAAAACCCAAACCCTAAACCCTAAAAACCCCAAAGCCCTAAAGCCCCAAAAGCCCTAAAACCCCAAGACCCTAAAACCCCTACCTAAAACAGCAGCAGCAGCAGTTTTGGCAGTGTCCCGTCGAGGACACGGAGCAGGATACGCGGCCTACTTAGAGGTTTCAGGGGCTTAGTAGGTAAGGCTATACATAACCCCAAGGGTCCAAGTGCCTAATAATCGTATACTCTCCAAAATCCTAACCTACATAACTACTATCCCAAAACCGAGTACCCAATTATTGGGTCCTTTGGACCCTTGGGGGTAGGGTAAGACATATGGGATGGCCACGGTGCCGCCCTGGATGTTGGCGACGTCGAAGTGCTCGCGGAATCAGCAAATGCCGCCGAAAATCATCAGGTTGTAGCTGAGCTGCGCTTCTTTCTCTTCTGCGGACTGGCTTTAAGGTAGATCTGTATATATAACGAAACATGCATAGCCCTAGATAAGGTACCTGTAACCTACTTCCTGCTGCGAGGGGGGTACCTGTAGCCCCAAACCCTACGAAACTATGAAACACCACCTATAGTGGTAATCATCCAGAGTTACCAAAGGAACACTTCAATGCAGTTTACCAAGTACCAAAAGTCTCCATTGCAGTTCCTTTTTGGGTGACCAAAAAGGATACCAAATATCAAACCATGCAGAGGAACTACAATGGAGACTACAGGCAGGATCAGAGGTTGGGGTTTGCGACTTGGGCATTGATCTTTGGGTGAAGCATATTGGGGTCTATACGGACAGGAGTTCAGGGCACAGTGATGAAAGAAGGATTGCAGCACACCTACTGTAGGGATGGATTTTGCGGATACCTTATAAGGCATATCTAAACCAAAGGCGCACGCAGATGCATAACCACACACCGTATCTACGTGAGCTTGTAAGCACAAAACTCACTAAACTCAGGGCCCGAAAGCCATAACCCCTAACGTGCGTTGAAGACACTTAGCGTGTTCAACTCATGGGCAGACTTTGCAAAAGATTATGGCCCTGCTATGGTTCAGAAAGGGATCTCAGCGCTGAGCCGACATGTCCTCTCACGAAGTACAAGAGACATGAAATTCTGAAAACAAGGCACGTCCCTAGCGAAGGCCAGGTGAATATAGCACTGTCAAGAGCAAAAAACGTTCTTAGAGAGACAGTCCCCACCTTGAGAACAAGACGACCTCACAACTGAAGCTAAACCTGACTCATCCAGCGTAGTTCCTTCTTGGACTAACCAAGTTTGCCATAAGGAGTTGAGAGTCGAATCCAAAGCTGGCCCACCCCCAAAAGCCTAAGCTCCCAGCACCCTAAACCCTGATACCCTAATACTGCAATACCGTCAGCCCTAACCCTTAATACCCTCACCCTACAACACTAATACCCTAAACTCCTAAACCTTCGCAGAACCCTTATGGAAGCCTGTATAGAACCTCATTGCAACCATCTTAAAAGCAACCCAAAAGCTGGTAGAGGCCTCTGTTTGCCGGTGTGAGCACAGGCATTGACAGGCTCTGGTGCAGCTTGTGCCCCTCCGCAAGGAGGCTCTAATCTACCAAAACTTACTTTCTATAGGGCCGCAACAGAATTCGATACCAGGTTCGTAGTGGGAGCCTACTTGCCTACTTGTACGAGAAAGTAGGTGGTGGTAGCTAAAGGATTTAAACGGGCCATAATTATTAGAGGAGGTTGCTGGGGTCCGTGAGCTTCGTGATGTATGGCAGGGTTTACTTGGAGGATCATGGGACTTAGTAAGTAAGGTTATAAGTACCCTAATTGGAGTTATAAGTATAGTTACCTTATTTATAACCCTAGTTACTAAGTCCCATGATCCTCCAAGTAGGGTTTAGGGGAGCCAACTCTGCCAACAGCATCAACGGTCGAAAAAGAACGGCCCAAACTAGGGTTTAGGGTTTAGGGTTGGCCAAGCCGCATCAAAGCGAAAGCGATGCAGTGTGTGCGCTGGATAGAACTGCATGTAGCATCGCTACCTCCTCAGACTCTCCCTGGACCCCACCCCTAAACAACCTTAAACCCAATGTCCCAACGATCCCTGAACTGCCCGACACGTTGCGAGAAGCCCAGAGCCTTTCGCCCCTAGAATCACCAGAGTCCCTTATAGAGCAGCCAGTATAAGACTCCCGAAAGTGGCCCTTGTAGTAATCAATCTTTCTAAAACCCCGAAGAACCGTACCGCTGAGACCTTGAGCGGGCCTCTGCAACTTTCGCCGAGGTCCCTCTACTCAGGCCTCAGTGTGCGTGTCTCTGTCTCTGTCTCTCTGTGTCTGTGTCTGTGTGTCTGTTCTTTGTGCCGTCTTTTGACGGGGAGGGTGGTTCCTTAAGTTCGGGCTTCGTGTTTAGATTCCATGTTCGAGCATGTCGCGTTTAGGGCGTCGGTTGGAGATCCTATGTTTATGTAGAGGCTTTAGGATGAGTCTACCTAAACAATCCCAGAGACCTACCCGTTGCTAAGGACCTACATACATAAACCAAACACTTTGAGATGTGGGTGCTAGAGGGTTAACAAGAGCCCATGGCTTAGGATAGTTTTAAGGCTCTAGCGTCCAGCTGATAAGATGGTTCTCCGGTTCTGGAGTCTTGGGCTTAGGATCAACCCAGAATCTCGGGAGGATCCAAAAAGTAGATCCCTTAATCGGGGTTCCTATGAAGTACCCCTAGTAGTATAGGGCCCCAAATTAGGGGATCTACTTTAAAGATCCTCCGGGAGGTCTGGGAAGAGCCTGCGGAGTGGGCCTTCGACTACTGCGGATTTACGGTACTGGATAGGACCGATAGATGCCGTTCACTTCTGAACCTCCCACACAGTGTCACAGTGGCCTAAGCCTAAACTTGGGCGTGTGGGACATCAAAATATACTAAACCGTGATATGAAAGAAGGGCATTATTGAATAGACATCCCGGCACATCAAGCCCTAAGGCTTGCTCCAAGGCACCCTAACCCTAAACCCTAAACCGCAAGTAGGACCAATCAAGAGGCCAGACCTTCTGACATCCAAAGCCCAGCTGCAAAAGTGTAGAGCGACACGACGAAGATCGCAACTGCTTTCAAACTCCGCTGTCCTGACACCCTGATACACAAAAAGGATAAAATCAAGATTTGGACACAGGAAACACTCGTCCGAAAATTCAAACTTCTCCATCACAGATGTTCCTTAGCCAGGTTGATACGTCAAACATTCAACTAGGCTTCGCGCCGGTGTACCCACGACTGGAGGCGGTGGCCTCGCGCTGGATCGGCTCGAGCCTCTTGCGCTTCAGGTTTTGTCTAGGGGAACTTTTCATAGATGGTCCTACGATCCCGCCATCATTTTGGAGCGGGGGTGCCTTTGTTGAGGGTCACCAACTTCCAGGATCACTAACTTGCTGAAATCCTGAACCTGAAACCTGACTGCCTGCACAGACAATAATACAAGCCAGACCTCTATATTATTGAGAGTAGCTGCCGAAAGAAACTAGAACTAGGGATTGTCGGGGGCCGGGGGATTCCGGATCATTGTAGACCTATTGAGGAACACTCGCCGCAGGAATGGTGTTCCTACTGTTTACCTCATCATCCAGGAACAACTGCGATAAATCAGAGAACACTTCGACACTTTTTATACAGTACTTGTAGTCTCCATTGAAGTTCCTGTTTTGGTGTTCCTGCAGGATCGTGAACCGAACGCTGGCTAAGCCAGAATAGAGAACTAAATTCGACACTGCTGCTGACCTTGCCAGAATGTTTGAGCTTTAGGGTTCTTGGCTCTGGATCTGTATACACTTTACTCCACCATAACCTACGTTTATAAAGCGGGGGGGGCCTACACATTCTATATATTTTGGTTCGTAAGATGAACCCAGAAAACAGGTTCTGGTAGTTTAAGGAAGGGTTCAGGGTGAATCTACGACGAGGAGGGCGCTACCACCGCCTTAAACTGAAAGCCTTGGGGCCTTTGATCTCTACCCTTGACCTACCAAAACCTACTTTAGGATTCAGGGTTTAGGGTGTAGGGTCCCTAAAAACTCCATATTCGCATGTATTTTCATTCCGAACCCATAAAAATGGTAGGTGTTGGTAGCTTAAGGTAGGTGCTTCATCAGCTCCTACCTGCCGAAAGCCGAAGCATGAATCTTGAACTCAATGCTTTGACGTATGCATATCCAAGGCGTTTCTCGTCCACTTGTTACTACTACAACGGGAGAGAATAGGACATGAACATCATAATCATCAACTGAAAAAGCAGTGTGAAGAAGATGATGATGCTGACGTTGTTGAGAATGATGAGGATTACGGGGCTGATGATGATGATGGTGGTGGTGATGATGATGATTTGTTAGGTTCGACTCATTTCGCGACTCGTGACCGTAACCCCTGTAAACCCTAAATCCCAAACTCACAACTTGAGCCAACTATCTATCTACCTATCTATCTAAAAGTGTGTGTATATGTATATATATATATATATATATATACAGGCATATGTGTATACATGCATGTGAATAAATGAATATATGTATGTGGATATGTAGATACACACATGTGTGCATGTGTGTCTATGCATGTGAATGTGTGTACGTATGTGCAATCATTTATGAGTATGTACGTATACATACGATCCTGTTAATGCCAACCCTAGATTGCGGCCGGAGCTGCGGCCAAAGGGTCTCTGCGCCCATGGCTTCGGCTTGCCAACAGGGTTACGTCCACACAGAATCAGAACTCAACGGCTTAGGGCTATAGGGCTTTATGGTTTACCATTACACAGAATCAGCTAAAGGGCTATAGCATTTTAGGGTTTAGGATTTCAGGGTTTCGGGATGTGGGGCCTAGGCTTTTGACGGGATTTGCCCGCTGTTGCAGTCGTCCATGGTGCACCAATCAACTAGGCATGCAGATCCATGCTGTAGGCCGAGCACGCTAACTTTCAACTGCTTGTTGTTTTTTTTTGGGGGGGAAACTTGGGGCTCTAATATAAGGCCTTGATAATTAGAATAGGGTTTTGGGCTCCTTAATGGAATATCCATAACAAGAAGCATCCGGAATAACTGTTGGTAATCATTTAGGCTCCTACAATAGAATGACATGCGCTGCCTGCGAGCCTTGCCACAGAGACATGGGTGAGTGCGAGGCATTTAGGCATACAGTAAGGCGGCCACTACCAGTGACAACATGAGAGATACACACATACACCCCAAAGCTCGAACTAATTATACTGCCGGAACTCGTCACAGTCTTAAACCGACAGCCAAAAGCGTCTTAGTACGTAGCTATTAAACGATGAAAGTCTCCTTGAGCACGATTGCTATGTACTACCGTAGTCTTCACGGCTGCCATGGTGCTGACCCTGCTTCCTTTGCATGGACCTAAAGCCTCAACCAAACCATGTACATTCAAAGCATATTAGAGCCCTTGCCCTCCAGCAGGAAACTCCACACCGTGTACCACAAAGCAAGACATCTCGAGGCAAACCAGTGAACCTGCCACGATACCGCCGGTACCAATACTACTGTGGATGACATAAATCCTGCATTACCTTGAAGGACCCTAAACTATGGGAATTATGGCATATTCCTTATTAAGGGCAATGCAGGATTTATATCATCAACCGTACCACCAGTCGTACCACAATTCTGTCGCTGCCGGGGCCCCGTGTGCTCCTTGGCTCATGTCGTAAGATCCCATACTAATACCCCTATATGCCACGAACCAATACTCCGAAAAACATCCTCCCACCGGCAAGGCCATGACGCGTTTGTTTTCGCGCACAGCATGCGAGAAGGTGATCCACCTCGGGCAGAATCGTAAGGACTGCTTCATGCACAATTTGTTGGAGTATGGGCAGGGCTTGGGCAGTAGGGGCGAGACTTGTCTAAACCTACCCCCTAAGCCCTAGACGCTAAACCCGGTGTCCTTAAAACTTTCAATGCCTACAAGTGTAAGAGAGCCAGCACCGGCATCAAACCCAGTGAAATCGCAAACCGCGAGTGCTTTGAAGGAAGACCTTTCTCCGCCTGCAGCCTCTGCCGGACCGTGTCCAGTCCTCTTGAAAGGAAGAACTTTTCGACGGCAGGGCCGACCCAACCGAATGGTCGAAGTTCGAGCTTCGACCGTTGACAAGCTTTCATCGTTTCAGAGCTCGGACCCGTCACGGCAAGGGGGGGCGTATGACCCAAAGGTACTTGCTGCTGCTCGAGTCCCACTCGTCGTGCTTCCACTCAGCCCTCAGTGGCACAACACCACGCAACATTTGGCATGCCTCACGGTATTCATCGGTGCCCTTCTCGGCGCCTATGCGAAAGCCGTCTCGAAATTCAGGCATCAGATTGTGTCGGGGGCAGCCCGGATCCCTGATCACGTTGCCACCCTCGGCGAAGGAATGCAACTCAAACCACTCATAGTCCCTTTTGATGTCTTCTCGCAGCATTGCACACGCGATAAGATACTCATCGGTGCCCGGGGCGGCAGCTACGTGTAAATATGGGTCATCGGAACGTTTGCAGTTTGTGGCATCGTCGGGAACCCGAAAGAGGCCCCCAGCAGCCTTTGCGATCACCCAGGTTCCCTTTGCGGGCCCCCTGTGATCCGAACGCCTGGTAGCAAGTGGTGAAGCCGAGGACATGGGAAGTCTCTTCTGGTCAGGACCCGCAGCGGCCTTTGCAAAGCCAACTGGTGCAGTCATTCCGTTTGCAGCATCGAGCGCCTGTAGATGCTCTACACCCGAGCCTGCGGCAGCACCGCCCAGCACCGTATTGAAAATTGCCTTTGCGAGTGCGTTGTGCATCTCCCTTTCTAGCTCAATTCCGGCGAAGTTCCACGCAAGGGTCTTGTCGTGAGGCTCCACCTCTTCCACCCACTTTGAAGAATCAGGACAGAGCCTCGCCCTATCTGAATCATCTGAGATTCTGTCACCTCCGTTGTTGTAATGAACAGTGAAGAGCACACTGGTGGTATGCACGCAATTATGTCCACTTGTCCAGCAGCAAAAATGACCCTCTGGTTCTGCTGCATGCCACCAGAAAGGACGCTCTGGTCGTATTTGCTTCAACATTTGACAATCTCCGTGGCCCATGTCAACAGTCTCAGACTTGTCCGACAAGGCATCCTTCCTTTCGATTTGGTGCTTGCAGCAGCACACATCCCCATTCTCTGCTCCCCTCTGCTTGATGCTGGTGTCAAGATGGACATTTCCTCCTGACCCGTCGCAATAGTCGTCACTAGCTTTGGTGCTTTTGCCACTGCACCCAAGTCCACCTTCAATCCAACAGCACCTATCGACAGATCCCTCCCTGCCTTCGTGCCACCAGTAAGGCTTCTCAGGATCTTTCTTGTAAGCTGCGCAGTCGCGAACGGTGAGCATGCCTTGTCGCGCGTCTCTGCAGCAACAATGGTCCATTAGCGAGCTGTTGTCGCGAGCTTCGAAAGCCTCAACGGCTTCCCGAAGGCCCCCCACCGGCACTCCGAACATCAGGACCAAGCAGCAGGCGAAGTGCATGGCCCTGGAATGCAACATGGAACTAGGAAGAACTACGGATTTCTCAGAAACACAAAAGGTGTCTTGCCGGAAGCTGTTAGCTTCGAGTGGCTGCGGACTAGCACAGGCAGCTGACAATATCCGCCTTCGATAAATACGTATTACTATGATCAGTATTATCGTCATCGGAATTATTATTGTCATAGATGTTCCGATGATCCTTATTATTGTCATTGTTATCGTCATAATATTGTCATGGCAAATTTTTTGGCACAGCTATTACCATTATCAGAATTATTGTCATTATTATGATTACCATTGTGGTTAGTATTACCAATCTTATCTTTATTATTCTTATTACCATTACTGTTATTACCATGATTGTTATTAATTTGTTTTATATTTCGGTGCTGTCTCTACGAACAGCCGGCAGGCCGACACACACTGGCAGAATGCAAGGAGGCCATAAACCCTAAAGCACAAGATCTCTGAACCCTGAACCCCTAAACCCTAACCCCTGAACGCTGATGTTTCTGTCTTGCGGGCTACCTTCATGGCTGGCTGTGATGACCCCAAAGGGTCCAAGTATCATTATGGTATATACTTAGACCCCCAAAACACCCTGTAAGTATACACCAGAATGATACTTGGACCCTTTGGGGTCCATGTACCCAAATAGTATATACATTGGCCTTAAAGTAGTCGCCATATAAATACATTGGGCCCAAAGTGTATATATATATATATAGTATATACTATTTGGGTACACGGACCCTTAGGGTTCATGACTGGCTGTGTGATGACGGATTCCGAGCTTGAAGCCGGGGCTGCGGCCGAGGCGGCCGCTGGGTCCGCTCCCATGGCTTCCCCTATGCTTCCACGGACCTTATAGTTAGGGCCCTAGACCCCTTAAGGACCCAATAATAAGGTCCCTGGAAGCCTAGGCTTCGGCTTGTCCAGAATACTACGACGACGCAAAGTGTAGCTAAACGGTTTAGGGCTATATATACAAATACAAACAGACACATGTGTATATTATATATATATATATATATATATAGATAGGGTTCTAGGGTTGTGGGGCTTAGGATTGAGAGGTAGAGAGTCTTTTGCATGTAACGAGATGCGTCCGCTGCTCCAGTCTGCCATGGCGCACTATTCAACGTAGGCATCCGGTAACGCAGGAGGCCGAAAGTTGCTAAGTTAAGTTCCCTGCAGCTTGCAAGCCTTGAACCGGAGAGGGGTGAGCCGAAAGCCACGCAGCTTTACGACGAAAGCTGCCACTACCTGATGCCATGATACCCTAGGCTTCCAGGGACCTTATTATTGGGTCCTTAAGGGGTCTAGGGCCCTAACTGTAAGGTCCTTGGAAGCATAGGGATAGACATAGCAGCAAAACGCTCGAACTTGGAATAGACAGTACACGATCTGCGCTCTACTCGAGAACAGGCACCTGCCAAAACTCAAAAGCGCGCGATCTGCTAGAGTATATTACCCCAAGGCTCCATGTATCCATATGGTATATACTTTGGCCCTCAAGTACCTGTACAGGAACCCTTAAAGCCAAAGAATATACTATGTGGGTAGTTACAGAGAGCCTTAGGGGTATCGCCTCTTGCTGCTCGTCACAAGAGCCCCACACACACCCCACGCCACCCAAGCACTGACTTCTCTGTTTCCCACGCAGCTTGCGCGATGGTGATACACCTCGGGAAGAATAGTAAAGACGGCTTCATCGTCGATTAGGATGAGGTTTGGGCTTCGGGAGTCACGTAAACCCTAAACCGAAAAGGCCAAGATCCATATTAACTGTATACCCCTAAACACTAAGGTACCAAGCCGCGGAGTCATATTCCGTGACGAGCAGCTGGGAGGCTCTCGGAGAGGAGGAGATTACCACGACCTCCAGTCGGTCAAGTCATTCTTTCAGAGAGCAGTGTGGGTGTGTAGGGGGTCTAGGGGTTAAGGGCTTTCGTATCTCGACTGCGGTTCAGTAGTCTATGAACTATAGCCTATATGGTGCCCTAATTTGGCGGGAGGGAGCGGATGGGGCGGAATAATCAGTCATGTAGCCTTCTAGCCCCTGTGTACTACACTATACTCGGCCACCGGGCCTCAAACTCCTGTTCAAACCATGAGGGCCCCTAAAAACGGATGCAAGACAGGTCCCTAGACCCAAGAGTAGCCTAGGAATAAAAAGGGTGC